GCTTTGGCCACTGAAGTTGATGCTTTGTCTCAAAAAATTGATACTTGGGGTATTAATGTTTTTCAAAGTCCTTTTGTGGCATGCGAGCTTTGTGGAGATAGGCATTCGAGTATTGTTGTCCAACCTATTCTGAATCAACGCAATTTGATGGAAGCTTCAATGGGCAGCAAAACAATTCATACTCCAACAGTTACAACTCATGGTGGAATCACCAAATTTTTCATGGAGTAATGATCAGGATCCTACATATTCATCACAATCTATTTTTTAGCATGATTTCCGAGTTACAAAAGTTAGAGCCCCTATACTTGAGAAGAAGCTAACTTTGAGAGGATATGCTGATACAGTTCATGACAAAGAATGATGCCATCATTCAAAGTCGAGCAGAATCAATCCAAAATCTTGAGACTCAATTAGGCCAACTTGTTAATTGCATCAACAATAGGCCTCAAGAAATTTTACCAATGACACTGGCCTAATCCTAGAAAAGAAGAATATGGTAGCATCTTGATGAGATAAATGGCAAGAATGTGGTAGATGATGAAGACACAAGCAGATCAAGGTAACACTTCCACCAATCAAGTTCGAGATGAAAAAATTAAGCAAAGAGGAGGAAGTATTTACACCACCACCAAGTCAAGCCATATGTGCTTCCTATTCCTTTCTAGATACAGCTGCTAAGTTACCTAAAGCGGCTATTGACATGGAAAATCCAAAGAAACTCCTTGAGGCTTGTTTGGTTCAAAGTGGCAACAACAAAGGACCAAAAATGAAGACTCACAAATGTTAACACATGTTTTGAAGGCTACACCGAAAGTGCATTATCCAAGAAGAACACAATTTGAGAAGTTAGGTAAAGGTCAGCCTATTCCACCATCTTGGGTTGAGCAAGCACCAAATCTTGAGTTAAAGCCACTACAACCTCATCTTAAGAGGAGACTACTTTCACACCTCAAGCTTTTTCCATGCAAACTCCAACCTCCTTAAAGGGTGAATGAAGACCTCAACCAAAGTCAAGCTAGTGACTATAAACGAGCGCTTCTTGGGAGGCAACCCAAGCTATATTCTTTTTGATTTAGTTGTTATTCTAGTTCCTTTTTGTTTTTCAATTTAAATAAGTAGTTCTAATCTCTCCCTAGCTTGTTTTGCTGTGTATGCAGATTTGGAAAGCATGAAGATGAGGAAAAAGAAGATTAGAGCTTTCAAGGAACTACCACCATTGATAGGGAAGTTTCTTTTTCTTATTCTTTTTAACTTTTCACATTGAGGACAATGTGCAATTTAAGTTTGGGGGAAGGTTTTATTGTTATTAGTTTTTGTGATAGTTTATGTTAATTTATTTTCGTTATCTTTTTCAACTAGATTTACTTGTGCCAGCTTCATTTAATTTACCTATCCAATGATGAGAAATCAGTTATATTCCTATCTTGATTCTTCAAAACACGTGAATATTGTTTGAGTGTTATGTAAATTCTCATGCTAAGCTTTGCCATTAGGTTGAAATTTCTACATTTTGAGCACTATGTCTTTTTCTTAGATTTATTGTATATATTTAGAAAAGGTTTATGTGAATGCAAATTTTTGAATTATATATTAAGTTCTAGAATTTGTTTGATTCTCTCTCGAGGCGAAATCCTAGGCTATACTTAGTTAAGGAGATGATTTAGGCCATTGTTGGACCGATTGAGCCTTTTGTAGCCTTCCTTTACATAAATTATCCTCAGTTTCCCCCTTTGAGCCTAATGACATCTTTTCTTTGTTTGAACACTTAATTTTTAGCCTAGACCCTTATAATAATATTTTCAACAATTCTTGCATCCCTCATTCCTAAGTGCATAAGTCAATTTAGAATGTGTTATGAGCCACATAGTGAAAGAGGTAGTCAAGACAAAAAAAAAAAACGATGAAAAGTTCAAAAATATGATTGTACTCATCTCATTGCCCAATAAAAGAATTAATTTTGGGGGTATGAAATTGAGAAAAAGAAAAAAGGGAAAGAAAGAATGAAGTGTTGAACAAAAGAAAAACTTTGATGGAGAAGGGGTATACTAAGTGAAGGAAAATAAAGCTCTGAATGGCATCCAGATTGACTATGTGCTTAGGGTGATTTGAGCTATACATTATCCCATATCCAACCTTAACCCTAGCCATACATTACAAGCTAATTAAAGTCCTATTGATCTTTAACATAGTGTTAGCCTACATTAGTGGAGAGAGGGATGAAAAGCAAACTTATGGAGTTAATTATTAATTTGAATTTTGCATGAATATAAATTTATCACAGATTGTATAATATTCTAATGAAGAGATGACACACAACGAGGAATTTAACTTAATAATGAGTTTGCATTTGAATTGCGACATGAACTTGAATAATATTTATGTGTTGCCTAGAGTTATGAATATGGATTAACTATTGAGGATATTAAAGGTAATTAATGAAATGGTGCAATTGAAGTCTAATTAAATGTTTTCATGTTTACGTTATTGCATGTTGTTTTATGTTTTGCTCGAGGACTAGCAAAATCTTAAGTTTGGGGGTGTGATAACTCTATTATATAGAGTTATTTTGACTCATTTTGGGAGCTTAAGTAGCTAGATCTTTGAGATTTTATGTTCGAATTTTAGCATTATAGGTGTTTTTTTTAGTTTAAGTTTGATTATTTGTTAAGTGATTAATTTAAGTTATTTTAGTTAAATTTAGGTTATTTTATTTTAAATTACTTTAAGAGTAGTTATTGCTAATTTCTCCTATGGCTTTTGTAGGAAATTGATGAAAAAGACTCATTTGATGAAAATCAGTGCAAGTATGGTGATAGCTTCATTCGTATATATTTCAATATTTTGACCTATCTCTTCTAAAAAATCCAAATGAGGTGATTCTTTGACCAATCAAATTATAAGAAGAAGGGAAACAATTTTTATGTTCACCAATTGGCCCAGTTATGATTGGATCATGGTCAAAACATTTGTCAATTCGGACCACTGCAGCAGGATGTAAAGACTGAACATGATGCAGTATTTGGAGCAAATCTTTCAATCCAGAAGTCCAATTGATGTGATTTTTAATCCATTAGAAAGTTAAGAGACAGGGATAAAACTTTTATGTTTACTACTTTGCCCAGTTCTTAACATATCAGGTGAAACTCATGTTTGAAGTTGATAGACTCCACGTGCTGGGAGAACAAGGCTGCAGCGTTGATGAAAGGAAGCACACATACAAAATTCCAGAGAGCTCAACGCTGCAGCGCGTGGAGAAGTAGCGCCGCAGCGCTACGCGACTTCCCTAAAAAAATAAAGGACATTAACGGAATTTCACAAATAGGTTATTTGGAGCCTATTTAAGGAGACTTTTTCAGAGATTTTTGAAGGCAAAGAAGGCAGCAAGAGAGGCAGCAAAGGAGGCAGCAAGAAACTATTCTGGAGATTTGGAGCCAAGAACAAGTAAGGAAACAAGAGAATTGGAGAGAGAATCAAGATCATACATCTCTAACTATTAGTTTTCTCTCTTACCTTTGTGTTTTTTTTCTTATTTTCTTTGACTTGGATTCATGGCTAAATTTCTTTGGATATTGTCTTTATTAGATATTATGAACTAATTTATTTTTCTAGATTGCAATTGAACTCACATGTAATCTAGATTTTTAATCACTTTCTTGCTTATTTTCAATGGGATTTGAATTGTTTATTCCAATTTGTTCTTAATGCTTTTAATTGCATGGCCACCAATTAAATTGATCTAGAAACCTAAACAAACTTGGGAAAGGGAGTTTTAGTGTAGACTAAAATTGGGATAGCATATGATCATATTAAGTGATTTGCCTATAGGATAGGATATACCTATAGGCCATATGTAGTCAAATTAGAGCCTGAACTTAATGAGTTTGTTTTAATTTCAATTCACATAGGGATATAGTGTTTTGGTTAAAATAGATATTTTTATAAGATGAGTTGGGAGACCCTTAATAAATAATTTAGGACTCTAGGTTAGCAATTCAAACCATTGAGATAAGTTAAGGAAGAGAGGTAAGATTTAGATGAAGTGTGAGGGATATTGTAATCCTAGGCTTGTTTGATTTGATATTTATTTGAGTATTTATTATTTTGATTTTTTCTTAATTTAATTCTGCTAATACTTAGTTTGATTTGATATTATTTTGATATTGTTTGGATAGATTAATTTGCAATATTTTAGTACTTAGTAAACTTTTAGATCAATTCCCTGCGGGATCGATACCTCTATCTTGCCAATAGTACTATCTATTCGATACGTATACTTGCGTGGTAGAATTTTAACTGACAGTTATCTTCTATGAACAAAAAGGTTTTGGGTTTTTATATTTTTTTCTCATTTTTTAATAAGTTATTTATTTTGTCAATGAGTGCTACATCATCTGTTGGTTACTATTAACTCAAATGTGGAATTCATTGCTAAAAAGTTAAGGATTTTACAAATCCTGTTGCCAAAAGAATTAAAGTTTATTTCAATTTTCTTATAGTGTAGCATATTGTTTAGCCAAAAGAAAAAAATCTTTAAAGCTGAGTTATTACAAACGAGTACAAATATTAACTTTTCAATTTTCATCTAAATTATTTCAATAACCATTGACCTATTTGACTAATTATTTCAATCATAATCAATAAATATTATATAAAAAGTTAAAAATAAATAAACATCATATAATTATCATATTAAATAATAAACTGAGAAATATCAAACAATAAAAAGAGTTTTCAAAGACAAAAAAAGATAAAAAATAAAATAAAAAATAAAATAAAAGAAAAAGTAGAAATAATATTTGAAAGTAGTTTTGAAGTTTGAATTTTCTTTTTCCTTAATTTTTGTAACAATGAAAAAAGCCTTAGAAGGATGATTTGGAGAAAGAGGAGAGAATGGGGAGATCGATAAGGAAGGAGAGAGGAGGTATTTTTTGAGAGAGAATTTTTTTTTAAAAAAAGCTCTCTTAAGAAGCTGGTGTGTTTTTTTTTTTAAAAAGAAAGCTTTTATTTGGAGTTTTTTTTTAACTTTTTTTTTTAAAATTTTATTTTTTAAAAAAATTATTTTTTTAAAAGCTTCTAACAAAAGACTATTTTGCCTAACTTCTACTTTGAAGTATATAAGTTAAAAATAAGTTAGGTCAAACAGACACCAAGTGAGCTTTTCTCTTCCTTGTCATTTTTGGTTTTTTTTTTTCATCTTATGTAGTTTGATGTTAAGATTTTACAAAGTTGATTATAAAAGAAATTGTGTCATTTGATTTTCACTAATTTATGATCAAAATTAAAAATAGATATGAAATGGCCAAAATCAATAATAATATTTTTTTTAAACATTTAACCACGTATCTATAACTATATATAAAAGAAAGTCTTTAGCACTTTATATTTACACTACATGGAGGGATAGTTATGTACTGTTTGGAGTTCCAATTGATTGACATGTGAGTTGGTTGAGTTTGAAGATTTCCATATATGAATTTGGTTTTATTTATGACGTGTCGATTTGAGGTATCTCACGGTTATGTTTTTCATTTTATATTCTTCTATTTCTCAATATATCTCTATTATCATCTCTATTCTTTTTATCAAATTTTGTATCCCTTAAGTTTATAAATTTTCTTATCAATTCTGTTACCTTATCCTCAATCATGAAATTAATTAATTAAATCTGTGTTTTACTTCGTCAAACATTTTTTAACTTATGAAACCATATTTATGGGGTTACGCGCTTTGAATATGGGCTACACGATACTGATACCTCGTAACATTGAACTAGTGGAAGGCAGATGGATGCATCGTCTTTTAACTTGGTAATAAATTCTGCTAACTGCCTCACACCTCTTTTACATCTATGTGATTGTGGATAATTTTGGTTAATAGTACTTTCACAAACTGATCCGGCCATCAGGATTAGTCGTTCGAAATCCAACGGTCACAAGAAATAGTCAACGTTGTCCACACTGTTCATCTGAAAGATCCAGAATATGGAGCGGTTGCCTTCACCGCTAAGGCAAGCACAAACACACACTCGGAAAAGAGGACCTCGCAGCTTAGATAAGTAAAGTAAAATCAGAACAAAAAGCAGATTCACCAGAGAAAAAACAAAAAGGGCAGAGAAATAGCTGAAAGACAGATTGAAAAATGGCGTTGCAGTGGCTGATACTAACATACGTGGTAGCAGCAGAGGCCGCGGTGGCTCTTCTCTTGACCCTTCCCTATCCCAAGCTCTTGAAGAACCGTTTGGTCTCTCTCATCTCTCTCATTCTGCAGCCTGCCCTCTTTATTGTTCCCTTTGCCGGATTTCAGCTCTTAGGTTTTCTCGCCTTTTTCCTCTCTTTGATTTTCTTTGCTTTTTCGATCTTTAATGATATGAAATCGATTTCTGATTTTTGCTTGTAGATATTTACTGGAAGAACGAGCACCGCTTGATGTGTACCTCTGAGATCTGCACTGCTGCCGAGAGAGATCGTTACGAGAAATCTGTAAGTGTTCGATTTGTCCAATTTTTAGAATCTGATTATGAAATGCTATTGCTTTCTCAATTTCATGGGCTTTTGGGCATTGCTTTATTGCAGATATAACATACTATTTCTTCAGGCTCTCTGTTGTGTGTATGTCTGTTCTATGAAAAAAATATAGGCAATGAACTGAACTTCTTTTATTCAAGTTATCAAATGCACGATCAAGCTTAGTTGTATGTTCATCTGTATCATCTTCATCTTCTAATTGCTGTTTTTATTTGAGACTTAAGCTCTAGGATTTGAAGTGGTTGAAACTACTATACATTTCCTGCTGAATCTATCTCTGTCATTGCTATTATTGGTGGGCGGTAGCATGGTTTTATTCTTTGATTATGATTGTCTGAACTTTGATTCTAGAACCCCAAAAAGCTGTTAGGGATTTTAATTATTTTATTAATTTTTTTTTTTCTGGCCAAAGAACTATGGAAAATAAAACATAAAAAAAGGAAAAATGTTGTGGCACTTTTGTGGGCTATGAAGCACCTACATGAACACAGACAGAACATGGGTACGACACAATGGACACAATGACATGATATTTTCTAAAAGGTTAGGACACACACGGTAGGGATACAACAATAAAAAAAATATTAAATATATAAATATACTTTAATTAATCAGTACCATTATATGAATAATTTTCTATTCTTTTCTAAATCCTGCTTTCCAGAAGAAGCTTTATCAATTCTTTTCTAGGTGTTCTTCCTGGTACATGAACATAGGTGGGATCTTGGATAGTGTCAACCAAAATCATTAGGGCATCATTGGGTTTTATCCTGAAAATATTGAAAGCATGATCTTGGATCCTATACACCATTTGATAGTGATGGTTAGCTGCAACTGCGGTAGGAACTTGTGGTGCTCTTACAACTTGTACTTTCAGGGCTGTGAGCAGATTAGGATCACACAAGGCCCCGTTGTAATTGGGGAAGAGAGTAATTATCAATGTGCTAGGATTTATTGTGGCTTCAACAGTACAAATACAAGTATCCTGATATCTGAGATATAATGTATCTAACAAAGCCATTCTTGCTATAAAAGGCTGTCCTCGGATACCATGATAATGGAGAGCAAGTCCGCTTGCTCCAAAATGAATATGAGAATTTTATCGGTGTATCCATTGTTGTGGAAAATCTAGGGGGATATGTAAAGTGACAAATTGTTCTGTTTGATCTCCCCGAATAAAGTGTTTGTCAAAGCAAGTTTATTGGATGTATTATTTGGTTTCTTTGGGAGAATGTTTGATAAGGGTTTTGATGGATTTTATGGGAGAGGAGGGTTGAGCATATGCAGAATATGGGCTTACAAGAGGAAGTTCAGAAGGTGGGGGTTTTACTCCTCTGGAATGTAGTTTATTTCATGCAAAGAGTCTAGGTTTTTATTTGTAAAATTTTGAGGGGGCATGTGTCTAAGGTAATAGAAGCTGTGTTTTGTACAAGATCTTTACTGGAGATAGATTTGGATTCTATACGGAAAGATTTCTTCTCTAATATTTCAAATCGAAGAGAATAGAATATATCTAGGAGTGGTGGCTCTGATTGCAATAAAAAGGAGTCACTATAGCTAAAAGTAACTGTTTTATATTACTGTAGCAAGCTATGCTATGCCAACAAACATGGCCCTCCTGTCCTTCAAGGGTGATTTGTAACACCTGCATTCATCATAAAACATTTGATACAACCACTCGTGCTATCTTGTGTCAAGCCCCAAAAGAAAGACATTTACATTTTCCTTTTGCCCACATTAAACCTATTAAATCTCTCTCTAAGTCTCTAGGTTGTTTATAATTACTTATTGGATGCATATTTTGAAGAAGCAATGAATATTGTGTTTGGTATATATGATAATTTTGAAATTATTGAAATATACCTCCTTTTGTAAAGCACAATCTTGTTTGTCTATGCACAAAGTTTGAGTGTAGGTGACTTTTGGATGACATTGATCTTTGCCCTTAATTATTCGTTGTGTTCCAACGTGGCCCCCTCCTTTGCCAAATTTTCTATATATATATATATATATATATATATATATATATATATATATATAGGAACAAAAATATGTTTTGAAACAGAATATTGACTTTTGTGGAAATCGCTTACAAACTAGAATATCTAAATAGGTCTTTTGAACAGACCAAAATTTTACAAGAAAATTCTTTCTAAAACTTAGCTTGCCTCCGGCATGAATCGAAATCCTTTTATATAGGGAGGGATTTTTACAGAAAAATATTATTTTTACTGTTGAGTCACAGGGAGTGTTCAGGCCATGAATAATTTCTTCTTAGAATCTCCAAGGTTTTGGTTATCGTCATTAGGCTTCGAGTCATTTTTAGGCTTGTCAATTCCTTTAGGTTTTTGGTCACTTCATCGGTAGAATCTTTAGGCTTTAACTAATTTTCCTTGTCTTGTTCTTTTAAGACTCTTTCCTTCATCTCAGACATCAAGTCCCACCTTGTGTGGGACAAGTTCTGAATAGAAAAAAATAACTCAATACCAGCTGTGGCTTACAAATCTGAAGGCTTGCAAATTGCCATCAAATACAAAAACTATAGTAAAAATCCAAGTCCAACGCCAATACACTCCTTGCTAAGGCTAAAACTAAAAGAAGAAAAAATATTAAAACATATCATGAAAGAAGTCTCAATTTGGTGATTTAGATGCAAATGATTCAAGTGAAGAAGAAGACAGGTCGAGTTCACTTGACCATGTGGACTTAAGCCTATGATAATAAAGATGATTGCTATGGAATCTTTATACCAATTCATTGTTCCAAAACCAACATGAAAATGACCAAAACGAGACGGGACCAATGTTTGAAAAGAAGTAAAAAAAAAAATAAGACAAGTATAATGACTTAAAACCTGGAGATTCTATACATGAAATGACCAAAAACTTGAAGGAAATGACTCAAAGCCTAAAGAAAATGATCCAAAGCTGAAGATTCTTAAGAAATAATGACATAAAGCTTGAGGATACCTTGTGACTCTACAATAATTCTCTATAAGAATTCCTCTCTAGTTAAAAGGGATTTCGATTCATTTCGGAAGCATGCTTGTAAAATCTTGATCTATTTTAAAGTTCTGGTTAAAAATTTCCAATTTGTAAATGATTTTCGGATGATAAAAATTTTGTTTCAAGTTTATATTTGAAATGATATTTTGTTCCAACTTAATATTTTAAATTTCTACAATTTTCTACTCCACAAGCCCAACAAGTTTAAAGCAAAAGACAAAGTTATACATTTTGAGAAATACCCATGTTGGATGCCACATTGGAGTCCATGTTTTGGTTTAGACCTTGTGATGGGTTGATGGGTCAATCAGTGAAAACTTCTTTGCTATAGGATAAAAATTAGGTACAACATTTTCCAAGATCTCATTTTGCCATTTGGATTAATCTGGGTTAAACAATTTAGTGTTCCTCAATTCGAAGATGCTTGTTGTGGATGTATGCAGGGCCTACTTAGTATGCAGTACTCATATCCCTGCGGTGCTATCTTTCTTGGGGTAGGGAAACTGACTCTTCCTTGTAGCTTCGTTAAATTCTAAAAATTGCATTCGTCAATTCCGAGAGCATTTTGAGGGAGGATGCACATAGGGCCTACCCTACTTTTTCCCAATCAGTTCTGTGGTTTTTTTAGCTTTAGTACAGTTTATAATTGGCTTAATTGGAGCTTGTTTATGATTAGTTAATTAAGCATTCCATTACTTCTTATAAAGCTGGTTAGACCTAATTGAGTAACATGTGAAGAAGCAGGAGCTTGTTCTTGTTTCTCTGACATATCTCTTGAATTCTTATGTCCCACTTTGGCTTGTAAATAATTTCAGTTTGGGATGCTTTGCAGGTCTTCAAAGCTCAAAGGAATATAATTTTGTGTGCAACTGCTTGCCTCCTGTACTGGTATGTGCTAGCAATTTGACAGCCTCTGCTTGAGAAAGATGTTTTTAGTCGTCTTTAGATTTTGAGATAAAAGTGCTTCTGATCCTTGTGCAGGTGTATCCACCGCATTTGCAAGTACAATAAGGAAATTCAGAGTTTGGAGGAAGTAGAGAAGAGATACAAGGATCAATAGTTTCTTATCTTAGCCATCACAGGGTTGACTGACAACCGGTTGATAATGCTTCTACAGAAATCTCAGATTGCCTCTAGGGAGATTCTGTTATGTTATAAGCCTTCATTTGCTATATGTGTATGGTGTGTTCCATGCCAAAGTTCCTGCATTTTCTCTTTGAATCTTTTGTTACCAAACGGATCCTATATTTGGTGGTTTTTGTTAGTGATGAAGCAATTGCGTTGGATGTGTGCACTGCCTCGTTTATCTATTCTAACGATCGTTGCCATGAACATGGCGAGGCCCTGAATGTGCCTTCTACTTGCAAACAGGTTGTTCGCGCTGAATTTGGGTTCGAGTCTTCAAAGTGTTTGCCTGAGTTCGCTCGTAGACTTGAGATATATGAATGTTCAAATAAAAAAGTTATTTTATTCTAATGTTATAATATTTGTATTCCTTTATTTTAAAAAATTCTTAATTCTAATATATTTTGTATTAAAACTTTTTTTAAAATTTATGTATAGTAATATTTGATGTCAAAAAGTAAAAGAATCATGAAAAATAGGCTAAGAATATAGAAATATTAGGTGTTCGACTAAAAAAATATATGAAAAAGAAATTGAGAAATAGGAGTAAATATTTTTTAATATATTTAAAGTTGGAAGTCGTTTGATTGTGATTCTAATTGTAATTATAATATTTATTTATATGTGCAGATGTGACAAAAAATTATAATATCTAAAAAAGTTTTTTAATTATACGAGAAAAGATAATTTAATTTTTATATTTTTATTATATTTAATTAAATTTTTATATTTTTATTTTGAATTAAAAAATTATTATTAATTATTGATTAATTACTATTAATTAAAATTAAAATTATTGGTTTAATATCTTGACAAATGATGTGGTCAAAGATGTCATAAAGCTCAGAGTTATTTTGATTATGAGGCAATTGTATCCCATACCTTTCAAAAAAAAATCATTGATTGGATTTTTTTTTTTTTGTTGTTGATTGGGTTTTTCTTTATTATCTAATCACATGTCTTAAAATAATTGGTTCATCAAATAAGAAATCTAAGAAATAACCCATTTGTTTTTTTACGGTCGGTTTGTTTTGATGTAAATAATTTTTAGAAAATGTTTTTAAAACTTATACTTATTTGAAAAATAAAAAATTATTTTAAAAGTAAACTATTTTGAGTTAACGGAAAAATCACCCATTGATCACGTAAAATGTTTTACACTATTGAGAGGTGTAAAACTTTTTTGAAGAACAAAAAAAAATCTCATAAATTGTTTGAAAGAAAGAATTCAACTTGGTTGGTGGTCAAGATTCCTGGATCTACTAAGAGTTTTGCAGATCAATTGGCTAAGACTGGAATTAATCGTCCTGATGACCTTCTCCGTAGTCATTGCTAAGTAGTATTCAGATATTCTCATGCTTTCCATACTTCTTGCTACTTCTGTATCTACTGTTTCCTTAGATTTTGTTTTTCTTGGCTCTGGTTATTCTGATTTTATCATCTTCAACTTGTGTTATGATGTTTTTTGTGTCTTTTGCTATTTTTTCCTTGTCTTCTGCAATTCTGCATTTGTGATGATAGTTTTTTATTTTTACTATATTGTGTTGGATTTCGTTTATTGCCTTCTTTGTGTTCCTGGTAGCTTGATTTTTAAGACTTCTTTTACAAAAGTCTCCTAATAAAGTCCATCTTCCTTAGTATGACTCTTCATAATAATATCTATTATTCAAAAGAAAAAAGTTTGATGAATATAAAAATTTAATTTAAAATATTAAAAAAATAAAAATATTAATATTTAACTTTAAAAACCTTTTAACTTAAAATATTAATATCTAAATTATTCAATACTATTAAAATTAAAAAAATATTTTTTAATAAAATCAATCAATTCAATTTAATATTGTATTTATGAGTTGAATAAATCTTACTAATAATTATAACAAAAAAAAATTCAATGATCTTCATTTGATAAATACAAATTATAAATATAAGTTTTTTATGTTTTACACAATTAATGAATATTCGTGTTTTTAGAGTGTTGTAGTAAAAAAATTATAAGATGAACATTTTTTATGATAATTAAAATATACTTTTATTACAATATGTGATCAAAATGTTTTGCAAAATATCATTATAAATTTTCTCCATTTTCAATTTCATTTTCATTACAAACAAATTCAACATTGAGCGAAGACAACAATAATAAAGAACTAAAAGCAAAATATAAAATCAAGCATTAGCTAAGACAAAGAAACCCCTATCAAAATATCTAATGAAAGAACCCCCTTCCAATAACAATCATTTCTAGATTGCTGCTAGCGTTCGAGTCTCGCGTGAGAACCAGTCAAGTTTCGAACAAGCCTTACTCAAAACGTTAGCTATTACTTCATATTCATGCCATCAATCTATAAAATTACTTTGATCCATAAAACTCTTTGTAATAAGAATTGAATAATAATCTTTATAAATTCACTAAACTTTTATTCCACATAATTGTAAAAATAATAGATCAAGACTTATAATCTCTAAATGTACATTCATATTGACACTATTGTCTAATTTTATAACAAATTATACTATGACAACTTGATCTCTAGTAGTGAAGTGACTCGGAATAAAGTACTATGAAATGCCTATACTTATCCACGATGGACTGAAAATGTCGAAGACTGGACGCTAGACTGATCATTACCTACAAAAGAAAAATAAGGGGGTGAGTCTCTCAGACTCAGTGATCATCGACTTCGTGAGCAAGACGTGGATGGGAAACAAGCATAAGGCAGATAAATTTTAAATGATAAAATCCTAATAAGTATAGTAATCTTCGAAAAATCAAATCACTAGTAGAGTGTTTGTGCCTTGTAAAAATGAAACCGTAAAATCATAATACAATATTTCACTTGGCAAAACGGTGCCGATAACAAATGCAGCGAAACCAAGTTCAAACTTCAAAAACATTGCTTGCCATAAAAATATGAATAACGGTATAAAGTATGCACGCTCCTAAAATGTGTGGCATGTAAAGAAATCAAAGTGTTTGGCCACGTAAACCATTTCATGATCGTCAAGTAAGCACTAAAAGCTTTTATTCAAACAAAGGGAGCTACAAAGAAAGATTAACTCTCCACCATGCAAAAGAGTAACCGTCGAAAACTCACAAAGCTCTCAAATAGGTAAGTATCATTATCACTCATGAATCCACTTCTACGTAATAACATCCGAGAGCTAAACTCCACCGAATCCCATAGCTATGGCAATCTTGACGATGTTGGTCGACATCGGAGAAAACAAGCGATCGCAACCTCGAATATCACTTGTGGCCTAACCACATATAACAACCCGTGACCTTGCCACATATATCACAGTCTATGGCCCCAGCCATGTCTAACAGCCCGTCAATGACCCAAAGGTTCTCTAGCTGGAGCTCGCTTACGCATAAGGGTCACATTATCTCGATGTGACATTCAACCTACTTTTGATGCTCTCGGGTTGTCAAAACCGTTTTAAAAATCAAATCAAGTTTTCCAAGGTTTTGCCTTTAGATCATTTGAAATCAAAGCTCAATAATCCTTTAAATTGCTTTTCACATTAAATGGCATGGTTTAAACACTTTGTACAAATATCAGAATAAAATCGATGCTCAAACTTGCACTTTAAATCATTAACAAATGCATTTAGCCATGCATATCACACAAAAATACAAGGCATAGATTTTGATACAAACATCGTGAAAGCCTTGTTTCTCAGTTTCTAAAACTCTTTACATATAGAGCTTACCTATAGATATATTCAAATCATTTTAAAAACGCTTGCATCTATAATTTTCTATGGTTTCTACCAGCTCATGCTTTCCACAATAATAATATATAAATCATTGTAAATTCGTTTTAAAAATGGCCTATAAAGACTAACAGCTCATGATATGCACAAATGCACTTGAGGAAAACCAACAACGTTTATTAACGTAAAACAATATATAGTACAAAGATTTTAAAATCGACACCCCCTACTCACCTTACAATAGCGGGATACTACATTGCTATCAATTCGGGTACATGTCTGGCTAATTTTACTCGCCGGTTACCCATTACCTCCTCCGGCATGCCACCACAGCATACTTTCTTTGCTTATACACTTCCTAGCAACCATATCAACTCAATGCACTTAATTATTCACATGCATGGCAGCACATCAATCAATAAATCTATAGCCTAATTTCATAGTTTTCATCAACCTTACTCGCAATCATTTAACACACAATCCACATACTATCAACTAAACAAAGCCAACACAACACCATGCATTCACATTGCATGCTTACCTTTTAGTTTTAGCTTGAGTTCCACATATAATCCACCATTTCGCACATTCTCGGTCACCATCGCTACCACAAGCATAAACAATTAGCACACATCTCATTTCTCTTGTCTATTTGTAATTTCAAAACAAAAATACTCACCCATTGCTTATCTACCTCCAAAATCAACATACATTTCAAGATTAACCCACATGCATGCACCTATTTCTTTCAAATCTTGGAGGACCTTTGCTACCACAAACATTCTCACACAATTACCCACTCATTTCCTCAAGAAATCACAGCCAAAATCAAAGTTTTACTTACCTTCGTTAGCTTGGAACCACTAGGCTAAACCTTCCTTGTCTTTTTCTTCTTTATCCTTTCTTTCTTCCTTCCTTTCTTTCTTTCCTCTCATTGCTTCTAAGCTGATTCTCCCTTTTTATTGTCTTAATGGTGTAGTTTTCTTTCAAGGCAAGGTCATTTTGGTAATTCTTGGTGTGGGTGGATTTCACAAGAAATGACCTTGAAATGGTCTTGTGAAATCTTCTTTTTCTTTCCTTTTCTTCTCTCATGGGTGGACATATCAAGGTAAAAGGCTTGAAAACGGCTTTCATCTTCTCATTTTACTCCCACATGGGCGAATTGCCCAAGGTTACTTACTTTTTCTTTCTTTTTTTTTTTTTTACATGTTACTTCATGCAACTTTCCTTTTTGTTATTAATGCCACTCCCATTGGTGGCTTATTCATGCTATGCTTCCTTATCCATTCCTTTATCCTTTGGTTAGGTTGCTTTGTCCATGCATTGGTCCACATGGCATTCCTTTTTGATTTATTTCATTTGCATTTCATTCCACATGTATTTTTATGCATTTCATTTTCATTTCCTTTTTAATGCCACCTTATTCCTCCAACCACACTCCATGTACAAGCTTCACTTTGCATTTTATTTGGCCATTTATTCAACCAATTAAGTCACATGCAACCCACATTTCACTTTTCTCATTTGATCACCTAATGCACCAATCACATTACATGCAAATAAACTTAACTTTATCCTTTTTTTTTTCTTCACATGGTGGGAGTCCCATATGTTCCCCACTAACTTCTCTTTTTGC